GCCAGGAAGTCAGTCAACCGGTTTCACCATCCTCGTCGTCGTCGTCGTCGTCGTCGTCGTCGTCATCGTCGTCGTCGTCTTCGTTGAGGAGGCGAAGAGAGACGTGGATGAGGAGGTTGAAACGTAGAAGAGAGAAGAGAAGAGAGAATAGGTATCAGCATGAGAGAGAGAGAGAGAGAGAGAGAGAGAGAGAGAGAGAGAGTGTGTTCCCTATTAGTGTCTCTCTTGCTCACCCTTTTTCTGCATGACTCTCCCCTTTTCTGTTGTTGATCCTTGTCGGAGGTAACGAACGGGGTCGAAAACGTACGATCGTTTCCGAATAAATACGGGAAGAGACGGGGAGATACGAGGAAGGCCGAGGAGTGTCGCACACCGCGGCGCTGAACGCAGTGCCATCCGATAGGCAGCACCGCTTGCTCCGTGGATCCTTCGCTTCGTTCGCTCGTACGGGAAGCCCCGGGTTTCTCTCTCCGTGTTTTCTCTTTCTCTCTCTTTCTGCTTCTACTTCCCTCCCTCCCTCCCTCCTTCCTGCCCTTCTTTCCTTCGTCCCACCCTTCCTCTAGTCCTCACTCTCTTTCTTTCTTTCTCTCTCTCTCTCTCTCTCTCTGTCTGTTTTTATATCGAAGAGAGAGGGTGAAAGGGTGGGTGGGAGAGAGGGAGGGAGAGAAACGAGTATAGCTTCTTCCTTTTATATCACATCTCTTCTTTCTCTTTCGATAGTCGAAGTAATATTATCGTGGCCCCGTTGGTGCGCCTTTTTGTTGTCTTACTTACTTATTTACTTATATACTTACGCATGTACGCACGAACGCAGCGTGGAACGCTCCTCACGATATATACCACAAACATATGTATATATATCTATATATACTAAATATGCATAGGTGTAATAAATGGACGCAGTGAATCGTACGTGAGAAACAACCCATCCTTTTATTTTTTTTGAAATAATTCTCTTTTTACAATTTAACTCGGATCATCTTTTTTCTCTTTCGGTCTCGAAAACACGAAGGTTGTTCACGTTGGTGTGGACGTCATCGTTGTCAACGTCGTCATCTTCGTTATCATCATCGTTATTATCATCGTTATTATCGTTATAATTCATCGTCCATCATCGGCATCGTGATCATCATCATCATCATCATCATCATTATCGTCGTTGTCGTCATCGTAGTTTTCGTTGTGTGTTCGTTGTTGTTGATCATCATCGTCCCCTGCACACCATTCCCGTATATATATACATGCACACATATACCCAACACATGTGAGGAGAACCACCCCCTTCCTCGCAGCACATCAAGCAACGGACGCGTGCTGGTCAACACGGTTCGTCTACCTCTTCTTTCTTTCATTCATTTTTTTATTTATTTATTTGTTTCTCGCTTGCATGCTCACAATAAACATCTTTCATTTCTACCCCTTTCTTTTTTTATTTATCACTGAAGTAATAGAGATCATGTGGTGGTTCTTCACATCTAGGAAAGAGAGAGAACTTGTTTGAAAATTTGTCTCTCGCTTGAAGTAGTTGAAGCCTTTAGTTTTCGGTTTGTCTGTTAGTTCGTTCGTCGAACAGAAAGAGACAAGGCTTCTTTTCTCGGAACGTTTTCTCGGAACGCGAGGGAGACCCAGCATGGCCGCCTAACGCGAGACAAGTCAGAGTGTTCTTCTTCGATATCCACCAGGCTAGGTTCGGTGTTTCTTTCTATCTCTTTTTCTTTTTCCCCGTCGTGTTTCTATCACTCCTCTCTCTCTCTCTCTCTCTCTCTCTCTCTCACTCTGTTGAGTTGCGCGCTTGTGCACACGCATTACGCACTCTATTCATCTCCCTTTAATGTTCAACTCTTTCTCTATCTCTCTCTTTCTCTTTTGCTTGCTTGCTTCGTAGAGTGTTCCTTGCATAGGTCTGTCCCTCTTCCGCCAAGATGCATTCAGTCAGTTTGTCTAACTCACTCAATCTCTAGTAACTCGGTTCGTTCCTCTTTTCCTTTCTCTCTCTTTCACATTATACGCGAAACCCTCTTTCCATCGTCTTGTTCGTTTTCTTTCTCTTCCTCCCTCTTTCCTTTCCTATCCTTTCCTACACGAGGGCTCTCGTTCTTGTCCCCTGATCGCGCGTTTCTCATTCGAAAATAGAACGTCAGCGTGCGCGCGCGTGCGCGCGCACTTACTCGCTTAAGCGCGCGTGCCGCTAACATTTTTCCCCGTGAAAACAGCAAATTCCCACTCTCGGTTGGCACAACCAAAGACGAGTATTGCAATCGTGTATTTTATCTTTCTACACAAAATTTATTGTTTTATTCGCGAAGTAATGTCAGCGGAGGAGCCAACTTCCCAACACTTCCTTGATAAGTCCTGTCACGTGCGACTCGAAACACTCGACGAGCCCTTTGTTGGCCCTCCTCCTATCCTTCCATCCCTCTCTCCCTAGAGCTATTCTCTTCGTCATCATTTCACGAAGAAAAATCATCTTCGATGTCGAAGACAACCACGTGCAGTTATAGTCGTAGTAGTAGTAGTGTGATGTTGTTCAAAACGTTAGGACTCGATAGTTGGTTAAGGGAAACCCAAGGAATAATAATAACCTTTTTATGTTGAAGGTTTTCTTATTATTCCAATTGGTATATTGGTCGTATTAATAGATCTTTCAATGTCTGCCATAGGTTTTAAATAAAAGGATTATTTTCTCACAGTTTACGTGTAGGTAGAAGAAGAAGAAGAAGAAGAAGAAGTTAGTGGCAAAATGAACGTGTTCTCACTTCGTTATCGTCGACTTTTAGATCGACTACTCGCGTTTTCACTCTCAACAAAAATTGGACGTCCTGCTAGGCAATGCAGTAGTACACGGTTTTTGCATTAAGAGAATGGCTGGTGGCTACTCGATGAAAACGGGAACCCCGGTCTTTCTTTCACACTCTCTAACACTTCTTCTTATTCTGATATATATATAGGAGGTTCACACTACTATAACGATGAATTCAATGCAACAATGTTTCTCCTCAAACACGTACGTACGTGCGTGAGTGAGTGAGTGAGTGAGTGAGTGAGTGAGTGAGTGAGCGCGTGCGTGCGTGCGTGCGTACAGTTTATAAAAATAGGTTTTTCATGCTTTCACGTTCCCTGCGAGTCGTCTATACTTAGAGCCGTGCCTCGTGTCTCCGTGTAGTAAACAAATTTCGGAAGGAAGGCATGGACCTCGCGTAACCCACACCCCTCCTCTCACCCCGTTGTCTCTTTCTCTTTCTCTCTCTTTTTTTTTTACACGCTAGAATCTAAATTTATTACGCTAGTATTCGCTCCTGCGAACCAGAAAGAGAGAGAGAGAGAGCGAGAGAGAGAAAGATATGGAGACCACGAGGAATACGTAAAAAATAAAAAAAAGAAAGAGATAGATTGATATCGCGGAGTCCATAAGATTGTTTACTTGAAAAAATAAAACTAATGGTTCGAGTTAATAAACATCATTAATAATCGTTGTTAAATGGAATCATATAAATTAGTAGCAATCTTTTCTCGTATATTTGTATTAACGATGAAGAAAGAGAAAGAAAAGGACAGAGAAAGAGAAATATTATAAAAATGAACAAAAAGTGATAATCAATGTTTTTCCTGTTTTAGGTCATACAACAGTAAATACATATTCCAAAGGAATCGTGTATTAGGAAAAATTTGCGATAACGATCAACGAGGTACCGGAAGAAGCAGAAAATACGAAGGAAGAGGAAAAAGAGGAAAGGATGCAATCTAGTAAAAGATCTTTTCAGTTTCTCAAGTACCATCGTTGTAGTACGATTGTTTTCCAATCTGTCGAATGTCGTAATTCGCGATGATGGCGGAACGAGATCCAATAATTTATTTAATTATCAAAAAGACCAAAGAAGTACGCAGTTATTTGGATATAAACTGGATGTTAGATAAATGACAGTTTTTATTGGGATAACAAACTCCTCGGAAAGAGGAATTCAAATAAGAAGAAGAAAGAAAAGAAGAAGAAGAGGAGGAAAAAGTTGAGTGTTGGATGTAGATCGCAAAGGATTGTTGTCAGTGGTGGTGGTGGTGGTGGTGGTGGTGGTGAGGGTGGTGAATCGAAGCTCGCGTGGGCCACCACGGGGGCGGGAGTGGGTTTGCACCTGTTTCTTCTTCTCGTCGTCGCTTTTCAGGGCGATTGTACGACGACGGCTACTGTAAAAAGGTTGCTGTCGTCCGATCACCGTCCACCCCCCACGAATCCATCATCTTCTTATTCTTCTTCCTCCCTTGCTCCAGTTCCAGCTACAACAACAACAATAATTCCAGCTCCTCTTCCTCTTCCTCTAYTTTTTCCCATAACTTCTCATCCTCCTACGATCAAACCCCATTGCATAAGATCGATTTTACATTTGGATTCATCGATCGATCGACAACGGTTGTTTAGGTGGTGGTGGTGGTGGTGGTGGTGGAGTTGGTGTCACGAGAAACGAAGATCGACATTTTCGTCCTTTACTGTCGATGGAAGTGACGAAGACGACCAGGATTCGAATATTAAAAATACAAAAACGGTTATTGTAAGGAGTACAAGGACGAGGACTAAAAGTACTAGAACGACGATTATTACTACGATTACGATTACGACTAGGACAACGACTATAACGACTACAACGACGGCGTCGGCAACGGCAACGGTTACAACGAATAGAACGAGGATTAAAACGAGAACAAGGGAGAAGAGGAGGAGGAGGAGGAGGAGGAGAAGGAAGAGGAGAAGGACTAGAGTCCTGGCAACTCGTCTTTCTGATAGGACGGAAGAAGAAGAAGAAGAGGAAGAAGGAGGAGGTTATAGGAAAGAAGAAAGGGAAGAAAAAGAAAAAGAAGACAAAGAGGGTGGTAAAAGTGGTATCACCGAGCAACAACTACTCGTACTCGGTGCTACCGTTGTTTCTGCCGGTGGTGGTAGTAGTAGTAGTAGTAGTAATAGTAGTAGTAGTCAAAGTAGTAATAGTAGTAGTAGTAATAGTAATAGTAGTAATAGTAGTGGTGTTGTTGGTGTTGTTGGTGGTGGTGCTGCTACTAGTGGTAGTGGTGCTGGTGGTGGTGGTGTCGTCAAGCTTAGCACCACGACGACGATAACAGTCACCGAGCCGATGTCAGCGAGTTCGTATCCTGGAGATGAGGAGCTGCCGGGAGCGGAAAATCATCAGATAGTGAAACGGCCAAGCTCTGGAGAAAAAGAAGGGAAAGGGGAAGGAGAAGAAGAAGAGGAAGAAGAAGAAGAAGAAGAAGAAGAAGAAAAGGAAGAGGAAGTTGGAGAACTAGGCAAGGACGAGCAGACGTTACGCGAGGAGGTCAAGGTCATCGACTCCTCGCCGTCGTCGTCCTCCTCCTCCTCATCCTCATCCTCGACGATCACCGGGACGACGACGGTCCTATCCACCACACAGTTACCACCACCCACTCGGGACAACTCTATGGAAGCACGTGAGTTCAACTTACCCCCATTATTTCTTCTATACTACTTAACATAACTCATCTATCGATTTAATTTAGAGTCCAATGCAACGTTTCGCCATTTATATATTATAATGTTTTTTTTATTCCAATTATCTTATAATATAAAAAATGTTGTTAATTATTATTACTTTTTACGATCTCGTTAAGTTTTATTCTTTATTTTATTTTTTCTTATAGAAATTGTAATTATTTTTCAAGGGGAAAAACTTTATGGTATTTTACCGGGGCGTACTCCTTTTTTTCTTTTTTTCTTTTAGTTCTACTCGACGTTCCATAATAATCGAGTTAAAAGTAATCTAAGCTAGCACTGAAACATGTGGTCTTCCTCTCGAACGGCCGTTTATTTCGTATAACTCGCAAAATATAAAAATAAGTTGAACGCGTGCCACCAAAGAGTGACAGAGCGTTCTGGTATTCATATAAATTTTCTTCGCGTTATTTCCGATATACATAGGCTCCCATAAAACACCGGAATTTTGTATAGTTCGGTAATATTTTTTTTTTTTGAGGAACACGAAACTCGTATAATCGACTATTAAGCTAAATTTAAAAAGTTTAGGTATCTATGTCGCCATCCTACTGTTTTACGACTGATCGACACTACATTTCCAGATCTCATTAAATTTTACTCGAATGTTTTTACCAAAACATATATATGTATTTATAAATCGCCACAATCTTATAATTGTATAATATAATAAATTGTAATAATAATAATAATAATAATAAAAAAAAAAAAACATTAACTAACCGCGTGTACTTTGGAAAACTCACGAAAAAAAAAGGAGACGAGTAGTACAACGATGCGTAAACGCATCTCGGTGCATCTCGGTGTATCCTACTCGCGTGTTTTCAATTACGCTTGCACGAGTGCACACACACGCATGTGTGCACGCATGCGTGCACGTAGTAAATGCAGTTCGTGACTTTGAGTATGAATAATCAATCGATAATATTATTTTGTTTCCTTACAATGCTTGACAATCGAATCCCCTCAATTTGTCTCGAATTCGAATCTTTCTTTAGGGATAAGGGGTAAGATGTAGAAAAGGTGTTTTGAACCATAGTAAATTTTTATTAAAAAAAAAAAAAAGAAAAATGATTTAAAATCCGAACTTCAAGCTACGAACTTAGGGGTTTTACCAAAGCCACGATTTAGAACTTAAAAGGTAGGATAAAGTTTGATCGGTTGATGCGTTTATTTCCGTGATGTTGCTGCTGCTGCTTCTTCTTAGGCAGCTTTTTTCGCTAGCTAATTCGCGATCTGGACAGTTACCAACGGTGAGTTCTCGGTTAGCATGCGATACCGGGTACTCAGTATAAGAGGAATGACTAAATGCACTCTGACTAACCGGCCAGGCATTCCGTAACTCGGCTGTCTTATTTTCGTTGCTCTACAAAAAGAAAAAGAAAAAGAAAAAGAAAAAGAAGAAAAAAAAACAAATACACACAATTTAAGCTTAAGTAACAAGAGTAATCTGCAATATTCATTTCGATTACGTTATCGTTAAATAATAATCTTTATTTCTTTATTCTTATTTGGCATAGTGAAAGTTTTTCGGGCGGTATTTCCCTCCCTCCCTCCCTCCCCCCCCACCGATTTGATCTCATAACAAACGAGATTATTTTTTTATAGAAATTATATGCATAATCGAATGATTTTATTATAATTGTAAGAAACACAATACACRTTATTTATTATTTATTTATAATATCAAATTGATGTTTGTGTTAACACACCTTCCTTGGGCACTTACTTTGCCGTCAAAGTTTTAAGCGTATGGCGGCCGATTTTTTTACAGTTCGTATGATAAAATTCCTTCTGCATAAAATAACTTTAATTTATTAAACATTAGGTCAAAATGGGAATTCATTTGTACGAGTGAAGAGAATGAGGAGGACCAGGAGGAGTATGTTTGTACCTAGCAAAAGTCAACGAAAGAAAGAAAGAGAGAGAGAGAGAGAGAGAGAAGATATGGAAAAATGAAGTAAAATTGTAAAAGAATGAGAGAGAAAGGAGAGAAACTCTTCGGTGCAAAGGAGCTCTCCTGCGGATGAGGAGAAACGTAGGGATGGGCAGAAGAGAAACAAGAAAAGGGTTAACGTCCTTTCGTTTACTCCTTGCCCTCTCTCTCTCTCTATCTATCTTTCTTTCTCTTTCTTTCTCTCTCGCTAAGCAACTCGTTCGTTCATTCGTTCGTTTTCTTTCTCTCTCCCACTCATCGTACGTCTTTCAAGCGTGACTATATACCGTATTGTACCCTTCTCTCTCTCTCTCTCTCTCTCTCTCTCATTCTGTGTTTTTTCCTCTTCTCTTTCTCTTTCTCTGTGTGTTTCTATCTCTCTTTCTTTCTCTTTGGTTTTCTTTAGTTTTCTTTCTTGCTTTCTCTAACATTACTACCATTTATTATTCATCGGCAAGGAAAATTTATATACGCCCTTACCTCTCGGCGTCATATTTAATTCTCGATTTACGATTCCACGCCCCTAACTTTTTTCGACGGCGTTGCATGTCTGATAAAGCTCTTCGACTTATACTACGTATACGTACATTTATTTATATATGTATGTACGTTACGTATGGATATATGTAAGTAAAGTACGTATGTATATGTTTTGTGTATGTATTCTGTGACGATTTACTTCTCTTTCTCATTTGTATATTACTTCGAATGGAAGTAACATTAAATAATTATAATATCATACAAAAAAAAGTGTGATTAACTAATTACATTAATTAAGTAGAAAATAACACACACACACACAAAATATAAATAGTAAACGTTGGATTAGAAACAAATAAAAAAGAGAGAAAGGGAATACAAATAATAATAGGAAAGAAAAGAAGAGAAAATATAAAGAATGGTATAGGTCAATGACAGAAGGGCGGTGAGGAGGGTTAAAGAGGGAGGAGGTGGAGGAGGAGGAGGAGGAGAAGCGTGGGGAGGGGGAGGGGAAGGGGGTGCGAAAAGGGCTTGGTCGCTATGGTAACTCTCGCTGCGGGGTAGCTGAAGTTTTTTATGCCGTACTGGACGATTGTCGGGAGGGTCGGGATTCTAAAAATCGTTACACAGACCTAGATACTCCGCACTCTTCGACGCCATCCCACGGAAGGTGGAAAAAAAAGAGAGAAAAAGAAAGAAAGAAAAAAAAAAAGAGAGTGAGTGAGAAAGAGAGAGGAAGAAATCTCTTCTCCAACCTTCTTCTTCAATTCTCTTCATTCTTCTGCTCCCTCTCTTTTTCTCTCCTCCTTTTTTTTCTTTCTTTTTTCTCTCATTCTCTCTCTCATTCTCTCTCTGGTGAGCGAGCGACCCTCTTGGCAACCAACAACCTCTCTCGCGAACTCCAACCATCCATCCATCCATCCATCCATCCATCCATCCATCCATCCATCCATCCATCCATCTATCCATCCTTTCCTTTCCTTTCCTTTCCTTTCCTTTCCTTTCTTTCTCTTACTCCTCTTCTCCTCTTCTTCTACTCTTCTTCTTCTCCTCCTCCCCCTTGCCCTCTCTTCTCTTCTCTTCTCTTCTCTTCTCTTCTCTTCTCTTCTCTTCTCTTCTCTTCTCTTCTCTTCTCTTCTCTTCTCTTCTCCACGTAAACCCTTTTTTTATCGATCGATCTTTTCTCCTTTTGTAGGCCGTCAGCAACAAGCGATCGTTTCCAACCGAGATGTAAACTGCTTTTGCGAATAAATTTCCGCGCGAGATGAAATTGCAAAAATATTTAAAAAGAAGAAGAAGAAGAAGAAGAAGAAGAAGAAGAAGAAGAAGAAGAAGTAGAAAAAGATTAAAAAATTTATAATAGTACAAATAATATAAAATAAATAGTAAACAAAGGAGAAGAAAATTGGAATGAAAGAAACGTGACGAAATAAAAGGGATGGTAGGAATCGTACTATTGCAAAAATATTAAAAAAAAAAAAAAAAAAAAAAAAAGAACTAGAAGTAGAAGTAGATAAAGAAGAAAAAATAAATAAGTAAAATAATTAAATAAATAAATAAAAAATACGGGAGAGAAGATAGAAATTATGTACTCGTATTTTAAACGGGACAGTAGAAATCGCATAACACACATATGCACGTACTATCATCACATCCGTGCATTAACATTGTGCATCACATATACGTGTATCACATCGTAAGGGCAATCATTTCTAAATAGTCTTGCAACATTGTGTTTGAAGATTTTTTAACGATATAGTATTAGTGTATACAATTCGACTTGGCAAGCACGTAATTTCTAAATTTGTATTGTGACGCACATAAAACGTCTCTATGAGTAACGCCCACGAATCCGTGGCACGATGTTACGATTATATTCAAACGTTCCCCCCTCTCTCTCTCTCTCTCTCTTTCTTTCTCTCTCTGTGTGTTTCTATCTTTGTCTCTCTTTCTATCTATCTACATATATCTTTCTTTCTCATATTAGCGTGTAAAAGTTATCGCGACGATTTCGTCGGAGAATCCTCCCATTACCGTGTGTGATTCATTCTATTCTCTTTACAATAGACAATACTTTTCTCTCTCTCTCTTTCCCTTTCTCTCTTTCTCTTTCTCTTTCTTATTCTATTGTTGTAAAAAGTATTAACAAAAGGATTAACTAACAATTTGTTACAACTCGCAATGATCTCATATTGTTTCAACATTTTTTCAAAATCAATTGACTTGTTGTAGGAAATAAACGAACAACCTAACCCTTTCGTTGCAATAATTAGTTAAAGTAATTTTATCAAAATCTCGATTAATTACGAGTAACCCATCCCTCTTTTCTACCACCCCAAATTCTTTGAATTCTTAACAGGTGTACAACTTGTTATACAATTTAATGCTCGTTTAAATAATTACAGAACTTTGATAACGAAAAAAGAAAAATCTTCAAATTCGTTTCACATTGACATCTTTATTCGATTTCCACCCTCCCTCTTCCCCTTATCCTTTAAATAATGATCACATTTATGGGAAAGA